GATAGAGAAAAGTAGCCAAAGAGTTAGGGATAGTAAAAGAGTACAAAAAGAGTGACAGACAGCCAAAAGAGGTGTTGCTATTAAGGAAACAGAGATTGTCAGCAAAATTAAAAGAAGCTAAGGTAGCAAGATAATAAATGGTAAAAGGGCCAGCACAAGTTCAACAAATGAGAGCTACAAATGAGAACTAAGAGAAGTTGGAGATCCTTTAACCAGGAGATCATCAGTGAATTATGAAGAAACAATCTCATTGGAATGCTCAGGATGAAGACGAGAAAATTAAAAAAAAAAAAAAAATTTAAAGCTAGTAGTAAAGAAATGAAAGCTTTGGGGATGAACCATCTCACCTATACTTTATGCCTTTTAAAACAATTACACTAAGGCTTGGTTGCATACATACATTTTTACAAAAGCATTTAGAGGAACACTGATAAGACGACATGCTCACCTCATGGTGTATTCGCTGATAAACTTTTTGTTCATTGTCTAATACTACAAAAGATTCAGAGGGTGCCGCATCCCCATTGAAAATGAAGCTTAAATCCCCTCGTTGGCACTTCATGTCAGTAAAGTCTATGAGAGTAGTGTCAAGCCTGTGAAAGACGGGTAGATGAGAAATCCTGACAAATAAAATTTTGATAAAACTCCATAATAATTAAACAAGCTTCATTGCTTCTACCAAGGTACTAATACCATACTTCAAAGTCAAACTTACTGTTAAGGCTAAAGTATTTTATTTAAAAACACTGAAAGAATATTTAAATAATATTCCATTTTTCCTATAGTTCATTTTCTGAATAAATCCTTCATTAATCCAGAAAAAAAAAATATTGTTTCCATATTGTTCAAGTATTTCCCTAACTATACCCTTGTTCCCTACCATTTCCCTTACTGCAGCTACTCCATAAAAGTTACTTCAACTGTGAAGGGCATAAAAGGAAAGTAAACTTGTCTAACATTCTTTGATCCCAATAAGACCATGCTGCTAGCTCAGCAGAGTATATAGAAAGGGTACAGAAATGGATGGACCACATTCTTAGATTAAGGACTGTGTTTCCAATCTTGCTCTTTTGATCTACTACATCTATGCCTTATGCTGAGCCATCTGATACCAAACCTTGCTTCATCCTTCAACTAGATAAATCATTTAACTTACTCCAAATTCTTGTCCTGTTTGACTCTCTGATTCAGATTAGCATTCTTTCCCAACATCTCCACAGACTAAAAATTTATGGATCATTACTGTATCAAAGATTCACGGACTTAACATACTTGTATGTTTATCGCAGTCTTTAGTAACCAAGACCTGGCATGGTCTAGCTCAATGGATTGGTCTCAAATAAATTCCACAAACCACTGTTTGCTGAAATTCGGGAGAATACTAGAACGGAAAACTTCACAAGTACCCTAAAATGTTTCAATCTTGTACCAAGCTTTGTAGGAGATCCCATTAGGATCTCTCTTACTGGTTGCTCAAAATATAGTCCTTAATCAAAAAAATGGGTTGACAAAGCAGTTAAGAGATGCTGATCACACCCTGGCTGCTGAGTTTCTAAGAATTCATTACCTTGTAAGTTATTCAATTCTCATGCTAGACTAGGCAAAGTGAATGAGCATTCTTGGTTTCCCTACACAGAAAAAAATCTGAGAACTGGAACATATCTTATATGCTGCATCAAAAAGAGTAACTGGGGTCATATATAATTTATCAATGTGATACCATTAATAATTTTGTCAGGACAATAGCGATGAATCAACAGCAAACAAGGAAGTATGGTTACCTTATGTATAAGGGCCTCCTTTCTGAGCCATATAAAATATATACACCCCTCAGAATGAAATCAAGAAGCCCTAAAAAAAGCAAGTCACCAACTCCTGTAGGAGTGAATCCTGCCTGCTGCTTTATAGCTGAATTCTAGTTCCTGGTTCACCTCCAGGGGCCAGCCTGTACTACTGAACACATCCTGTTACTACTTGTACATGTGGCGTAAGAAAATAATGCCAGTAAAAGAGGCTCATCCCTTACCTCTGTAAGATGTGGGCTACTGAATATCAAAAAGGAACAGATAATTTTATATCAGTGATCTATGTGGACTTCAAGCTGCAGCTACCAGAAAACTCTATACCTCACATAAAAGACGAAATGAAACAGAACAATCTTCTGCATCCATTTCCTTCTTGCCCATCCTGGATGAGAGTGGTAGTGGGTTGGTAGTGGATGTAAGCATAGTGAAAGGAAAGATACACAGAGACAGAGACAGAAAGACAAAGACAGACTGACATGGTGACATTTGAAACCTTAGATCTAGCTAGACCTAAAATGAGTCATAGTCAATTTTTATTTCATTTGTTTTCATAACTTGCAACTGAAAGAAGACTGTCTAATGCATCTTCTACAATATCCCTGACATATTAGATGATCTACTAAGCTTTATTACACATGCCTTATAATGACATAACTTGTCATGATGGTATTTTAAATTATTAACTAGTCCTTGCTTTAAGCCTATGAGTCTAAATATATTCTATTTTTACCATGTAATTAGCCATTAAAAATATATAATTATACAAATGTAAAGATTGGAACTAAAAATGTTCAAAAAAATCAATAGAAAATGTTTTTAAGATAAAAGCTTGGAGAATGCCAAATAACACTGCAAAAGGACATAATAGAGGTTTGCCTTGAGACAAGAAAAGCCTGAAATGAGGCAAAGTTTGCAAACTTTGCTCTGATCATTTCAGTCAGCGCTCATAAGATTACCTCATAATTATTAATAGTGAAAATGTTAATATTCTCAACAATAAAGTTGCTCATACTTTCCTACTTCCACTAAAGTATTAATTTCTCCTTGGTATCAGAAAAGGTATTTTAAATGATCACATGGCTGTCATGAAATAAAAGTAAACTTTAAAGATTTCTGTGAACATACTTTAAAATTCAGTTTCATTTGAAGTGATGTTTAAAAAAAACTAATCGGGTGTGCCTCGGTGGCTCAGTTGGTTTAAGCATCTGACTTCAGCGCAGGTCATAATCTCAGAGTTCACGGGTTCAAGCCCTGCATCAGGCTCTGTGCTTCCAGCTCAGAGACTGGAGCCTGCTTCAGATTCTGTGTCTCCTTCTCTCTCTGCCCCTACCCTGCTCGTGCTCTGTCTCGCTCAAAAATAAACATTAAAAAAATATATAAATAAATAAAAACTAATCATCTCATGATGTTTACATTTGAAAGTTTTTATTTAATGTTAATGGATTATTTTTCATTAGATTCTTCTCATCTATGCAAAAAACTTTTGCAATATGTCCTAAAAGCCAGCCTCTCCATTAACCTGGTAAACTTCAGTAATGACAGCTTTAGAACCTATCACATCTCTCCTTTATCCTCAGCTGCTTTAAGTCCCAGGTCTGAGTATCTTGCTAAATTATAGGAGCTTCCTCTTTTTTTTCTAAGTTTTTTTCTAAGTTTATTTATTTATTTTGAGAGAGGAAGACAGACAGACAGACAGACAGATAGTACTAGTGGAGGAGGGGCAGAGAAAGAGGGAGAGATAATCCAAAGCAGATTCCATGCTGTCAGCACAGAGGCTGGTGCGGGGATTGAATTTACCAACTGTGAGAACATGAAATCAAGATTCGGATGCTTAACTGACTGAGCCACCCAGGCACCCCTAAATTATAGTAACTTCCTTTTAATCTATATTCTCTGACACAATTATTCTCCTTCAGGCTTTTATTCTTATGTCTCTATTTTAACCATTTACAGCTTTACTACCTGTATGTATTATGTAATATGCATCATATCATTTACTTTTAAAAGTCATATATAAATGTGAAATAATTTTTTAAAGCCTCCTTTTTTTTCTAGGAATCAAATAGAACTAACACTAACAATTTTTAAAGTAGCACAAGGAATATAATAATATTCTCCCAAATTATCTGCTATCTTTGGCAAGCACCTATAGTAAACATTTCTAAATTGATGAGTAATTTTTGATGAAATCATATATATTGTTAACAGGTTGCTTAAGTAAATCTACGTAATTATCAAATCCTTTCCTACTTTTTTTTCCATGTTTTTCTGCATTTTTCAAGGTTTCTAATAATGACCATGAATTTAATGTACATAAGCACTTTCATAATTAGAAACATCATTAGAGGTTATTTTTTAAAAACAAAAACCTGAAACTTCTACCTTACTCAAATTCTATTTCTTGAGAACAAATACCCTAGAATTTACTTTCAACTAAAGATTATCTCTTCACTAAAATTCAATATATCTCATAATAAATCTCAGAGTTGACTAAAATTTCTGCCTTGTGACATGGTAAGAACAGACATGAAGTCAGAGGTCCTGGCCCAGCCATTAATTCGCAATATGCTCCTATAAAAATCACATCACCTCTCTGAATTTTCTCATCTATAAAATAAAGAGTTTATATGAAATAATCTTTCAAGATACTTCCAGTTCTAGACCCTTACATGTCCAAATTAATATTCTAGAGATATGCAAAATTATAGAGATAGATATACAAAATTAATATTCTAGAGATATGCAAAATTATAGACAGATATACAAAATTATATATATATAATTTATAAATATACTAAAATATGTATATATATATATATATAAGTTGGCATACTTGCCAGTTTTATATATTTACATATGTATAATTTATAAACATACCTGTATTAATACAAAGACATAAAGAAAGATAAAAGTAAATTCTGAAATGAGTAAAATAAATAATTTCCCATTAGATCAAAAAGTCAATATTAATTTTAAAAAGAAGAAAATAAAAATTAGCCTTCAAGTTTTTACTAGAAGGAAGAGATGATTAGATGAATGGATGGGGGCGCCTGGGTGGCGCAGTTGGTTAAGCGTCCAACTTCAGCCAGGTCACGATCTCGCGGTCCATGAGTTCGAGCCCCACGTCAGGCTCTGGGCTGATGGCTCAGAGCCTGGAGCCTGTTTCCGATTCTGTGTCTCCCTTTCTCTCTGCCCCTCCCCCATTCATGCTCTGTCTCTCTCTGTCCCAAAAATAAATAAATGTTGAAAAAAAAATTTAAAATAAATAAATAAATAAATAAATAAATAAATAGATGAATGGATGGATACAGGAGGGAAGGATATGAGAGGGTTGGAAAAAAAAGGACAAGAGTTGTGTCTTCCTTATGGGTCACTTATTCTTTAAAAAAAAGTCAGGATCAGAGAGATAACCATCTTAAATCTTCTCAGTATTATACCATGATCTTCACTGTTTCCCTGCTAGATAGTCTGTAGTTGAATTAGAATTAATACCTTTGTTTTAGTCAAGATTTTATGTCTTTGGTTCCTTATCTGTAGGATGTCTCAAATAAGATAAAATAGTGTAAATATATAACAGCATGTTTAAGTTATAAAATACTACATTCAAATGTAACCTATTACTACAGAAAGAAAAGCTTCCTATAAATCTCAATTTTCTGTTACTCAGAAAAAAATCAAATCACCTTACCTGATATTGATACCTTGTTTGTATATCTTACATGCATCAGAAGGCAGAATTCGGGAAAGTAAAGGCACTGTATTTTTAAAAAGAAAAGATAAAAAATAACTACCTGAAGTTCTGAGACACTACAAATTTCTCTATTAGAAAAAGAGTAATGTAAATATTCTACTAATTCACTAAATTTGTAACAATTTTCCTTTAAAATCGTTTTTTCCATTTAAAATAGCATATAAGGCAATTTTGAGCAACTTCAAATATCTACTATTCAATTGTAATTGCTGTGTAGTTCACCATTCTACCCTCGCATCCACCCACCAACACACACAAGTAGCAGAGTCAATACAATGCCACTTTGGGGTACATATTGTAGGACACTATTATAGATGAGAAAACAGTGCCCTATGGCAACTAAACCATCAGGAATAGGTAACCTGATGGACCTGGATCCTATCTACTCCTATAAATACAATTTCATTAAATAGCAGGAGAGCAATAGAGCAATTTGCATTTTCCAATTCTACAATGACTTTTCCTCCCTCATGTAAACTGAACAATCAAGTTCTCTGTGTCTTAAATTATCACAGCATAATCTGACAGTTTAACACGGCACTCCAAAAGTAGCATAATTCACTGAACTTAACAATGAACAGTCTGTATGTTTTAATTTGGTTTTGCTCATTTACTCCTTGGTCTTAAGAAAAGTTTCTAAACCTAAAGTTTTCCATTTATAATATACAAATAACAGTCTCAAAAATGGATATTTTGTAGATTATGAGATAAAGAAACTTTAAAAACTACTAGTTTTTCTGTTGAAATGTGCTATATACGTGACGCTAAACTTGAAGTCATGATTATGATACTATAAATTACTTAATGCTTTTACAGTATATAAAGGACTTCCTTCAAAAAATAATTTCATTTCATCCACACATAAACAAAATTTGTAATATCTGGGGCAGTTATTATTCCCATATAAAAATGAAGAAACTGAGTGGCTCAGTCAATGAAGCATGACTCGGTTTCAGCTCAGGTCATGATCTCACAGTTGTGAGATCAACCCCTGTATCAGGCTCCTTGCCCAATAGCATGGAGCCTGCTTAGGATTCTCTCTCTGCCCCTTCCCCACTCAAGCTTGTGAGCGTGCGCATGCTCTCTCTCAATCTCTCTCTCTCAAAATAAATAAATAAACTTAAAATAAAATAAAGAAACTGAGGCCCATGAAAGACATGTGATTTGCCACATCAAATAGGAGCCATGATTTCTGATTCCAATTTAAAGGTTTTCTATATCTAAAAACCTAAGGTGGAATAGTTTAGTTGCCTTCAGATTTGCTGTTAACCAAGTCTGAGGCTATTTTCAGCCAAACACTAAATACAACAGTATGAGAAAGGGTGTGCATGCTCCACTACCTCTAAATTAAACCTAATCCTGGAGCTCAATATTTCTTAACTTTCTCTTATTTCTGGGTTGCCTTTTTTTTTTTTTATTTTTAAATTTTAAAAAAAAAAATTTCATGTTTTTTTAGCATTTTATGTTTGAAAAGGGAATTTATAAGTTCTCCCTTCTTCATTTTTTTTTTTTTTTAAGTAGGCTCCACGCCCAGTGTGGGGCTTGAACTCACAACCCTGAGATTAAGAGTCACATGCTCTACCAACCAAGCCAGCCACACACCTTGATATTAGGAGTTTTGACAATGGAAAGAATCATGCCTAAACTCTAGAAAAAAGCTTACTAATCAAATCTAACAATAGGGATTATTCAGAGTTTTTTAATCCCAAGTGTCTAAATTAAATGTATCCAATGAGTTTAGTTTTTAGAATTATACATGTCATCTAACCATCAGGTGCTAATAGTTTTGACATGAAAGCAGTAAAATCTTTTATCAACAATGAAACAGATGTGCTGACTTTTTTCTATCAATCCTCAAAGAAGCAGTACTTTTAACAAATACCTCAATGGTTACATCATGAATTTGATTACACAACATTTATAAATATATTTATAACTACAGATATTTGCACAATTTCAGCAGTGATTACATCCATTTCCATTGCTTCATATAACTGAAATGTTACTTTTAAAATATTTTAAAACAGGGGTGCCTGGGTGGCTCTGTTGGTTAAGTGTCTGATTCTTGATTTCTGCTCAGGGCATGATCTCACAGTTTCATGAGTTTGAGCCCCATGTCAGGCTCTGCGCAGAGCCTGCTTGGGATTCTCTCCCTTTACTCCTCCCCTGCTTGTGCTGTCTCTCTCAAAATAAATATATAAACTTAAAAAAAGTATTAAAATATTTTAAAACATTTGCTCAGCAAGATAAATTGACTATTTTAAATTTACACCACTAACAGTTTCTAAGATAATCAGTTAAAAAGCCAATATACTCAAGGGACAACCTTGAATATAAGCTCACCAAGCAGGACTAGGGTTTCTAAAGATGTTAAAAAAAAAAAAAAAAAAAAAAAAAAAAATGGGTAAAAAAACAGTAATCAGGCTTTAAACCAATCTAACTTGGAGTTCTTTTATTATACAAAGCTACTACAAACCTTTTTCCCTCAGTGTTCTAAGACACCTGGGCTTCTGAATGATATATAAAGCATAAAGGCAAGGTAGGCCTACAAAGTAACAAAATCATGTGTGGTTTTGATAGAGCCCAAACTAACCTGATTTGCTAGAGTTGTAACAATGTTGGAAAGAACTGATTATTTCACAAATCAAAACTTTACATTTAGAGAATAAACACACTAGGAAAACTTTAATCATTCATTCTATATACATTATTATGCAACGGTTGAAGTACTTCGTCATGAACTAATATGGAATTAATGCCTAATATTAGATACATTAAGTAAAAATGACAAATTGCATAATGATATAATGGCATGATCCCATAAAAAAAAAAAACTAATTCTGAGGATATATACACACATATATATGTATTCAACCATATGCTGTGTAAACTTTGAAAAGGATGCGAAAGCATTCTCGTGAAACATTAACAGTGACTTTTATAGTTGTCAAATCTGATTAGTTTTATAATTATCACTGAGCATTCAAATATCTTTATATCACAAAAATTAATGCAGATGCTTAAAAAAACACATGTAAGCTCATTATATTCAAATCTATATACAGATTACATTGGTTTTAAATCTTCAAGAAAAAAAACCTAAATTTAGTTGCTTTAGTAGTTGTTTAATTAGTAAAGGTCACTAGGATCAAACTTCCTATTTAGACATGAAGGTTTTCTCCCTAAATGGACTCAGGTTTAAAAAGGGGAGGAGAGAAACTTACCTTGCCAAGATAAACCATTAAAAGACTGCAAAATATCTAGGGATTAAGGTTTTATAAATAATTGAAAAATTGAAACAGTGCACAACCAAAAAATATGTTAAGAGAGTAGCTATAAAGTACACAATAAAAATGGTAAAAATTATTTAAAGTTGACAAAATATACAAAATCAAATAATGTTAACCAAATTCTTCTCATTCAGGATCTGAGTACTATATTTCAAACTTCCTTAAATTCAGTAATCTAATAATCCCATAATTATTACTCTCTTCTCTTTGAGAATTGCTTATATTTAATTAATATAATATTTCATTTCATTTGGTTAAAAAAAGATAATTTTCAATCTTAAAAATAAGAATGTTAAAAGTTACTAATCAAGTTCAGATAACTATTACTACAGGGCTTTATAACTATTACATTCAATGTGATGAGAAATATTTAATTTTCCTTAGGGCAAGTAACAAATTTGTTGTGTTAACATTTCCATATAATAGCTACTTTTGCACTTGCATTTTTGCAAGTGCACATATTTTATAGTAAAACATAGTACACTCTTACCCCAGCTTTGAAAATCCCAGTGAAGTTCCAGATAAAAGTCACCTAGCTGAGAAACAAAATACAAACAATTACTGAATGCACCTTAATAAGCAGTCCTTATATTTACTGAATATTTTACTTAAAAAAAAAAATCTACCATCATTAAAGGTCTATAGACAGAAATAGAAAGTAGTTTAAAAGTTTGGAGTTAAAAGAAAGAACAAAAACATATGATTAAACTACTTAAAACATTACAATAGCACATTTTATAATACTTAACTACAAAGGAAAATATGCACCAACTATGGATTTTACAAGACCATTTTAACCACACAGGAATATCTGAAACTGACAGGCATTTAAATTTGCATCAATAAACAGTCCATTTTCCCAGCATAGCCAAAATAACAGTAACTATCGTTGTAAAAATAGCTCATAACTTTAGATGTGTTAAAAAATACAACTTCCAAAAGGACTATTTGTGCAGCCTCATGATGGATTACGAAAATGACACACTGAAATAGAAACTTTTTTCTATAAAATGGTAACACAAGTTTACTAAATCTGAAATAATATGTCATCTTATGAGATGTATAGTAAAAGTCTGAATTTTACAAAGTAGAAGTTAAAAAGCAAAGCCTATAACTGTTAAGGAAACTACTGTGATCAAATATTCCAAAAAAAAATCTATCGCTTGAAAAAAAAAAAAAAAAAAAGGCATACTTAAGAGGAGACAGTTATCATGATAGGTCTATCTTTCTCCCACAGTTACTTCAGACATCAAAACTACAGTGTAAGAGAATAAGAGAAAACAAAGCTCTCTTCCTTTTTTGAGCCAACACACCCAGCTCCTACCATCATGAAGATAATAAGAGTTTTGTTAGATAAAGAAGATGCTGTTCCCGCTAGCAGATAGTGGCTTCAGCTCTTTGGGAATCTTTTATTGCCATTAATTATGGCTTACCCCTTATTCTTAGATCTCTTACCTAATTTGCTGAAAACAGTAATTCTTTATCTACCTTCCTAGTTCAAAGTAAATGGTGATTCCCTAAAATTAAATTTATACCTTATAATCAGAGTATTTTGTTTTATCATTATTGCTTAATTCAAACAGGATTTTGACAAACCATTTCTTAACTCTTAATCATCAGTAAGCATTAGACTGCATTTTAAAAAATGCCTTAAAGTACACTTACAATTACTCTTTAGGTAAAGATCAGCAAAGAGATATAGCCTACCTCTTTCAGGGCTTTTAATAATCGAGGTCGTTTCTCTTCAACACTTTCCCTGGATTGCTGCTTAAGCTTCCTTAAAAGAGCTGTAACTAAAAATTAAAAAGTTTCAATTTAAAATAACTTTCACCATGCTAGACTGTTAATTATAGCCCAATTAAAAAGACTTATAAAAAATTTATCATGCTAGAAAACATCACTTACTTATTATACAAAGATATATATAGATATAAATACTATATTAATAAGTTTAATAAAACTGTTATGAACCCCAAGGAAAATTGAGAAGAGACACCTCAACATGAATTTATATTCACACTAGTTTTCCTAGTTTTTAATTATCAGTAAGTATTTACGTGAGTGAGCCAAGATTTATCAATCTCAGTCAGATGATACAATGTCCTATTGTAACACTGATCTAAAAGAAGATCTCAAAGATCCCTTTGGATATCACTTATGTAAAAATGTAATTATTTGTAATTGTTACTGGGTGTATCTATTCTTTTCTCACTAGAGACTGTACTCTCACACATCCCCACATAGCAGAAAAAAATATAAAAATGGATCCTATTTTATCTGTGAAAAGCGTTTCTGAATCTAATAAAACCTGAAGCCCTCCATAGTATTTTCTTAATAGTTCAGATTGAGGTTTAGCTACAATGCCAAAGTGCAACTCCAGCTTCACTACTTATTAGCTATATGTAAATGTGAACAAGTTACTTAATTTCCCATAATTTCAGTTTCTTTTTTTTTTTTCACTTGTTAATTAAAAATAAAATAAAATCTATGTGGAATTTATATAGAGGCTCAATATAAATTGGTTACTACTATGCCTGTAATTAAGTAAATGTAATTTTTAGCTACTAGAATGAAGGTCTAAAACTGACTTGCAAAAACCAATCAATCCCTAACATATATTGAAATAAGGGAAAATATTATACTTAAATGAAATAAACCTTACAAAAGATGAGAAGATGGAAAATATGCACTGAGGAAAAAAAATGTATATATCACTACATGCTGATTTCCTCCTAGTCTTGACATATTTTCATACATTATGTATATACATATGTATATGTACATGTATACATTCATATACACTAAAAAATTGTTAGTTTTTACTATTTTATAGTATGTATTCTTATAAGCTACTTAAACCTTTATGTGGAATACAGAAGCAAAAGGTTAAAAAAAAAAAAGTAAAAAGGGTGGCTCAGTCGGTTAAGCATCCAACTTCGGCTCAGGTCAGGATTTCAGAGATCGTAGGTTCAAGCCCCACAGCAGGCTCTGAGCTGACAGCTCAGAGCTTGGAGCCTACTTCAGATTCTGTGTCTCCCTCTCTCTGCCCCTCCCCAGCACTCGCTTGCTCTCTCTCTCTCTCTCTCTCTCTCTCACTCTCTCAAAAATAAATAAACATTAAAAAAAATATTTTTTTTTTTAAGTAAAAGGAAAGAAGACAGCAGTGAAAGCTTGGATGAGATTTGTTCTGTCCACACTGGCCAAATTAGGAAAACCCCAGAGAAGAATCTGAAAATTAGTATAATCTATTCTTACTTTTAACCACAGGTCTAACCATAATCCCACTGTATTCAAAAAGCCAAAAATCAAAGAGCACATTTCAATTACTCAAGGTCTTTTGGAACAAAAGAGGCTGAGACCTAGAAGCCAAGGAACACGGACCTCATCTCAGTTATACACTAGCTCTGTGACCTAGGTTAGTAGTTTCCAAATACAAGTCTACATTTCAGTGCCAAACTCTCAACTTTCCAGTGATATGCAGCAAAATGAAAAAGACTTGGAATCAGGTTGGTGTTTCTTCTTTATTTATAAGTTATATACTTTCTTTCAATTTAAGGACTATTCTTTATACCATTTTTTGTTTCAAAATGTCTTTTTTAAATGAAATGGTGATCACAGAAGAAAGTAATTCTCTTTTTTAAAGCTCTTAGATGCTAGCGGTAGCTAGGTGACTCAGCCAGTTGAGCATCCAACTTTGGCTCAGGTCATGATTTCTAATTCCTGAGTTGGGAGTCCCATGCCAGGCTCACTGCTGTCAGCGCAGAGCCCCCCACGGGGCAGGCTCTCACCAACCAAGAGATCATGACCTGAGCCGAAATCAAGAGTCTGATGACTAACCAACTGAGCCACCCAAACACCCCTAGTAGAATTCTTTTTATAATTCTTCTCCACTCAAATACTTTAATACTTTAATACTAAGCTCAAATACTTTAATCTTCCTTGCCTTCAAGGAAGGCAATTTGCCTTCAAATTCAAACAACCTCTGTGAATGTAAAAAATGGAAAGAATTCAATTTGTAGATAGAAAAGATAGCTTAATGAAAAGCAGAAGCCACATATTTTTCACCAGGTAAATATACTGAACTGACTAAAGGCATGCACTAAATAATAACTAGATTAAAATGCCCAAACATTATTAAAAAGATAGTGACAAAGAGATTCTTGTTCTATGAAACTTCACATTAAAAAATAACACTGTGGTGGCACCTGTGTGGCTCAGTTGGTTAAACATCTGACTCTTGATTTAGGCTCAGGTCACGATCTCGAGATTCATGGTTTCGAGCCCTGATTCGGGCTGTACTCTAGCAGCATGCTGCCTGCTTAGGATTCTCTCTTCCTCTCTCTCTCTCTCTCTCTTTCTCTCTCTCTCACTCTCTCTCTCTCAAAATAAATAAATAAATTTTAAAAAATAAAATAAAACAAAATAAAATAAAATATCAATTCAAACCTTCTTAGAAACATACATTCAAAATGCAATTATAAAAAATGACCAATCTTTCAGGGGGAATCAGTATGTGTACTCCCATATTAGAAGAATCTCATTAGTGATGACTGATAATAAAGATAATTAGTTTTAGAGGATTTAAATGATATTAGAATTCACACAAAGACTCCAATGAAGAACTCCAACAAACTACAACTTATCTTTCTCTTTCCTTCTTTTCCCATATAAAGTATTTTTTAATTATTCAGTACACCTAAATCTGGATCTTCTGCCCTCTACTTCTTTCTATGCTCCAGAATAATTATTTGCCATTTCTTAGTTCTACCTAGATATACCACAGATAACTCAAACTCAACAAATCTAACATCAAATTAATTAAATCCCAGACTGATCTGTAATACTGGCCTGCACTGATCACTGTTCACCATGCAACCAGCATAAAGCTGGAAAGCAACATAAGCCTAAATTATTTTTAAAATAAAATAATTCCTTTTTTTTTTTTTTTTTTTTTTTTTTTTTTTAGTAATCACTACACCCAACATGGGGTTTGAACTCATGACCCTGAGATCAAGAGTTGCATGCTCTTCTGACTAAGCCAGCTAGGTGCCCCTCAAGTGAAATAATTCTAAAAAGTCTCAGATGAATAGTTTAGCATTATCTCACTGTTCTGTAGCACAAAAACTTTAGCAGAAATCAGACCAAAAAAGAAACAGGTCACAGTTTTTTCTAATAATGTATAATATTAGATTATATTTTGCTAATTAGATATTTCAGTAACAATTTATAATATTAGATTATCTCTGATTTTTCAAATAATGTAACTTTCTATGCCCAGAATGTTTTAATGTAACACAAGCCATCAAAAACTTAAATCATAATACTTAAAACAATCTCAAAGTAAAGACCAATTTAACACCATTATAAACATTCATATTTTTATATTAATATTTCTAAGTACTTAAGAGTTATAGATTAATATTTCTAAATACTTAAGAGTAGCATAAGAGTTGTTAGGTTTATTATCCTTTAGTTAGCAGTTAAATATTTCCATTTCATGTGATGGGAAATGATTTTTTAAAACCACTGAAGAATTATGGATATATAATTATTCAATGATTGACAATGGAATACTATTCAGAATGTGTATCCAAGCCATCACTCTATAGAAGAAAATCACTTTAAAAGCAAACCTCAACTACTATGGGGCTCAATCTTTTATATTAAAGTCCATTAACTGATTTTCCAGGAAAACTATTTCTTGGGCTACCCAATAGACTATAATTCCTCAAGAGCAGAGGCCATGTTTTCATTCTCTACATCTTACCCTATATACATGCTTTATAGTAAGGACTCATTACAAATTCACTGACTCTAAATAAAAGTTATTGGCGTGCCTGGGTGGCTTGATTTCAGCTCAGGTCATGACCTTACGGTTCATGAGATGAAGCCCTTCAATGGGCTCTATGGTGACAGCATGGAGTCTGCTTAGGATCCTCTCTCTCCTCTCCCTCTTCGGCCCCTCCCCCGCTCACTCACATGCTCACTTGCTCTCTCTCTCTCAAAATAAATAAATACAAACATAAAAATAAAAGTTACCACTTCTCAGCCTTTTGGCTAAGATCAAGTGCAAAACAAAAAAGTTATGTGAAAGCCACAAAAGTCTCAGTGTAAGTCAGAAGCCCAGGAATCTATCTGGTTTCCTCTCCATTCTGCTAATGGCTTAGAAACATCAGAGAAAGTTTCTTCAGACTGGTTGCTGCAACTTTGACTTTATTCTTAGTTTATTAGATCTGTATATTTTCATCTTTTCCCTGACATAATTCTAGAATTAGTATGGTTTCTTACTTTCATAAGGGCTTCTTGATGTTTGTCCAGAAAGGACAATAAATAACAAAAAATGTATATACTATATAATTGTTAAATCATCACTATTTTATCTCATTAAATCTTAAGGCCAAATGTAACTTCACCATTAAAAGTTGCTCAAAGTGTTCAGAAAGTCCACAAACATGTACTATGTGGATTACATAAAAGCTAAAGCATAAGAGCCCAAAATGTAGCATCAAACAGAACTAAATCCATGGTAACATTCTGAGAGTGTTCAATGTTATACACTTCTTTAATAAACTGCCCAATTTTTTTTACCGTTCCTTCCACAAGGCTAGATTTAATTATTTTCAGCCTCAAATTATAAAAAGATATTACCAGAAAAATAATATTCTTATTCATCCAGATTGAAATTTTATACAATTTCAACTATTGAGATGTGCTTGACATAAATAAGACCTGTATAAGTTGAAAAAAGAAAACTTAGGAATAGGGGAGGTAGAGTAACTGAACACTCCATATACTGTGAGAAAATACGTGACTTTTTTTTAATTCTCAAAGACTAAAACAAAGAGATTTGCTTCTCACTTTCAGCACAGCCTATACCCAGCAATTAAAGCAAAAAGATAACTGTTACAACACACTGTGGTTATTTTCAGTTCCAATTAATGTTCCCATATAACTTAGTTGCCAAAAAGGACAGTTGGGTCTCAGTGTTTTTAAAAATACTTCATACTGAATAAGTAAAACAATGGAAAAATATCAAGAGCAGAATACTGTAAAAGAAGAAAAAATAATAACATACTTTTAAACACGATACCTCAATTCTTTTTGTGTACTACCCAATGTTCAAGTTCCTAAGTCATGAACAATTCACATACAAGTTTACAAATAGCTACAAACCTTTCATACTATGGAAAGTTACCCTAAATGAAAATTATGTCAAATGAAATAACTTCATATTTTTAGCATATATATCAACAACATAATTTATGTTGCTTACTCATCTGTCTATCTCCATAGCTGATGGCTTCCGCCAGCGGGCTCCATCCCTGAGCATTTTTCACCTTTACTGGAGCATTATGAGCCAAAAGTAAATGAGCACATTCTGAAACATAAAGTGGTAATAATATCAAAAACATGCAATTTTTAGAATCTCTAAATATAAAAATCATTTAGGAATTTAAGAAACAAATTTAAGGGACGCGTGGGTGGCTCAGTTGGTTGGGCATACAACTTCGGTTCAGGTCATGATCTCATGGTTTGTGAGTTCAAGCCCCACATTGGACTCTGTACTGACAGCTCACAGCCTGAAGCCTACTTGGGATTCTGTGTCTCCTTCTCTCTCTGCCCCTCCCACTCACGCTCTGTCTCTGTCTCTCTCTCTCAAAGAAAGAAACAAACAAATTTTAGCATAAATAGATCTATAAAATAAACACTGTATTATGGAGAAAAATAATTTTTAAAAGCCCAAAATATCTAAACAAGATTATTTCAAAACTTTAGATCTCAGATTCAAGGAGTCTCCATGCTATTACTTAAAAATAAATTGGATCTCTCTACAAGGAAGTATTATGTTCCTTAATAATTGTTCCCAAGAATATTCTGAAAATATTTTCATAGTCTAAAGATAACAAGATCCCCAAAAGTAATGTAAATCAAATTATCTATTAATCAAGATCAACGTTTACTTATTTTTGGGACAGAGAGAGACAGAGCATGAACGGGGGAGGGGCAGAGAGAGAGGGAGACACAGAATCAGAAACAGGCTCCAGGCTCTGAGCCATCAGCCCAGAGCCTGACGCGGGGCTCGAACTCATGGACCGCGAGATCGTGACCTGGCTGAAGTCGGACGCTTAACCGACTGCGCCACCCAGGCGCCCCTATTAATCAAGATCAAAAGAGGACGTGTATGTATGGAATGTCAAATGGAAACTTCCTAATTTATTTCAGAAAAAAAATGTGCTTTCAAAAAGGACCAGTAATGTTTCCATAAACATTTCTTTTCAAATGTTACGATTCATTTACTTCAAGAATAAAACCCAAAAGAGGAAAACATCTGTTTATGATTACAAGAACAAATCTGGACATTTTTTTTTTTAATGTTTATATATTTTTGAGAGAAAGAGACAGAGAATCTGAAGCAGGTTCCACACTATCAGCGCAAAGCCTGACCCGGGACTCGAACTCACGAACCCTGAGATCATGACCTGAGCTGAAGTCTGACATTTAACCAACTGAGCCACCCAAGTACCCCTGGACAGTCCTTCCAGTAGTCAAAGTAAGTCTAAGGTATAATCCTTTCTATAGGTTGAGGATACGCTTCTTAAAAAGTAGAAATAAGAAGTATATTAACAGGCAAAAAATTCAAAACTAAGGCTCATGGGAAATTTAGGATGGCTATCCATTCTAAATTTCCTAAATGAACGATTCATTCATTCAATCCATCATTCAGCAAATATTAACTAAGTCCCTGTTATATGCCATTTCTAAGCACTAAGTCCTGGATATAAGCAGTGAGAAAAAAGATAAGGATTTGCTATCAGAAAGCTTACATCTTAGGGTGCCTGGGTGGTTTAGTCAGTTGAGCGTTCAACTCAATTTTGGCTTGTGTCATGATCTCATGGTTTTGTGAATTCGAGCTTTGCGTTGGGCTCTGCGTTGGCAGAGTGGTACCTGCTTGAGATTCTCCTTCTCTCTCTCTGCCCCTCTCCTGCTAGTACTCTCTCTGTCTCTCTCAAAATAAATAAACAAATTTAAAAAAGAGAGACAGCTTACATCCTGTGTTAGAAGAAAATAAATAAACTATTAAGAAATATATATATATATATATATATATATCAGTTAATGGTAAGTGCGCTGAAGGAAATAAGAGTGTTATGATAGTGTGATGTAGGTTAACTGAGATGGAAGAAGAATGTGATTCCTAGACATAGAAGGAATAACTATATTAGCACACAGCACTAGGAATAACTATACTAAATTTTATTAAGATAAAGTAAAATAGAAATTTCACAGAGGTACTTAGGAACATCTGTAGCAGTGTATAAGAATACATGCATAAGAATGTTTATTTTAGCAGTTTATAATGGAAAATACACTGGAAACTAAGTGAATATCCATCATGTGAGAATGACTGATTAATAGGATGTATCTACACCACTAGAGTAATATACAGCCATTTTTTTTTTTATTGTCCATTTGGACTTTATTGGTTCACATAAGGAGACAACTAACAGTTGCTGGTGTTTACTGAACACCTACAGCATGCCAGCTACTAAGCGCTTTATTTCTATTAATTCATTAATCTTTACTAACCCTATGAAGTAAGTACCATCGTTATCCCTGTTTTACAGTTGGGGAAACTGAGGTCCGGAATCCTTTTTTTTTTTTTTTCAATATATGAAATTTATTGTCAAATTAGTTTCCATACAACACCCAGTGCTCATCCCAAAAGGTGCCCTCCTCAATACCCATCACCCACCCTCCCCTACCTCCCACCCCCCATCAGCCCTCAGTTTGTTCTCAGTTTTTAAGAGTCTCTTATGCTTTGGCTCTCTCCCACTCTAACCTCTTTTTTTTTTTTCCTTCCCCTCCCCCATGGGTTCCTGTTAAGTTTCTCAGGATCCACATAAGAGTGAAACCATATGGTATCTGTCTTTCTCTGTATGGCTTATTTCACTTAGCATCACACTCTCCAGTTCCATCCACGTTGCTACAAAAGGCCATATTTCACTCTTTCTCATTGCCACGTAGTACTCCATTGTGTATATAAACCACAATCTCTTTATCCATTCATCAGTTGATGGACATTT